CTGGCTGAGATCTCTCCTTTTTTCCTTTTTCTGTGACCTGCCGTTTCATGAAGTAGAAGAAAAGTGGAAGAAGGACATCCGGGGCAAAGGAAAGGGATAGCAGGCTGACAGACAGGCATAAGGTAGATGTATATGGATAGCAGGTAAGTAGGAGGATAGGAGACGGGAAAAGAGGCAGAATCCCCTCCTTTTGGAAGACTGATATTGAGATACAGGCATAGATATAGATATAAGTAGATGGATAAGTAGATAGATGGAACAGACGGCAAGAGAGTAAGTAGCATGAAGAGATAGAGACATGAGCATAATATAAGCGTAAGAGTAAGGTAAGAGATGGAGTACATAGCAGGTAGATCAAGGGGGGGGGGAAGGGAGAAAGAAAGAAAAGAAAGGAATAAAATGAAACAATATCGAAACACAGCGAGGCAAGCAGGCAGGGAGAAAAGAAGCCAGGGCCAGGGGGTATGTAGGAGAACAGACACTGAGCAGAGCAGATCACAAAGACAGACGACGGGGGCGCGAGGGAAAGTAAGTAAAATAGTTAAGTCACAGATATCAAGAAGAAGAAAACATCAAGGCGTTCTATCCACAGGAAGGGTGCCGATGGGGAAGAAAGGGGGATATAAAGTGATGTAAGATGTAGAAAGTAAAACGAAGCAAGGGGGGGGGATGAGCGTCATCGATCAAATGGATGGATGATTGGAAATATGCTCCCCCCACTCGAGCAAGAAAGAGTGTGTAAGTAGGTATCACCTCGAGTCAGTGTATTAAGATATCAAACCAGAGCAAAGACCAGAGCAAGCCAGACCAAACGATACCGATAGCCAAAGCCAAAGGAGAAGGAAGAAAGAGAAAGGGTATTAGCAAGGTAAAGGGTATGGGGGTAGATTAGAAAGAGGAGAAAGAGAAGCAGGATACTACCAGCCCTTCTTCCGGGCGAAACGTTTGTTGAGCAGAGCCAGGACGCGCGAGACGTTGAACTGGACGTATTCCAGGTCTAGGTCTTCCTGGTTATCTTTCTGCATTTCCAGCAAGTCGTCGAGTTTCAGATCGAGTTCTAGCAGGCCTCTAGCTCGTCCTATATAAAGACTGTTAGTATTGTCATTGCTAGAAAGGGTGAAAAGTAGAGACATACCCTTGTAGTGTAGACTGATGACAAAAGTGCCTGGAAGGGGACTCTTGAACATAAAGTATATATTGGCCCTCCTGTTTTCGGGCACGTTACTCCGTCTAATCACCCCTTCCTTCTCGAGCTGCTGGTGGGTGAACTTGTAGGGTCCCAGCTCCTGGTGCTTCTGGGTCTTGCGCTGCTTGCCCTCGCTCTGGCTGCGGACGTTGTGCAAGTAGGACTTGTAGGTCTCGAGCTGGTTGACGAGGTAAGCGTTGTGGTCGCGGATGGTGCGGTAGACTTCTTCGAGCTTGCGCTGTTCCTCGAGCACTTTCTCACGCAGCGAGCCGAGGTGTACGAGTTCCTGCTCGACCTCGTCGCGGAGTAAGGAGAAGTCGTCTGACCGGTCGATGACGCCGAGTTCCTGCAGCTGGCTGAGGAGTTCCATGGTGCGGATGCCCTTGCGGACCATGACGGCGTCGTTTTTGAGGGTGGCTGCAGCTTCGGCGATGCGGTCGAGGCGCAAGGGGCGGCGGGTGACGGAGGAGTTGTGAGGGAGCGAACGCATGATCTGGACAAAGGTGGATTTGGCTTCCATGAAGAAGATCTCTTCCTGGGTGATGTCGAGGGCGGAGGTGAGGTCGTCGATGGGGGCTTCCCATTTGCTGAAGAGCGGGAGGTGGATTGCTCTGTTCTCCTTGCGGGGCAGCTGGGCGGGCGCGGGTCCGAGTTCCTGCAGGAGGACGTTGAGATGGGAGTTTTGATCTGCGGCGAGGGTGGAGGCGTGTTTCTCGATGAGGGCGTGGGTAGCGTAGATTTCGTTGAGGGTGATTTGCAGCTCGAGGTCGCGCTTGGAGAGGGCGACGTAGTTGTCCATTTCCAGGCTTTCATAAAAGTCTTGGACCTCACAGAGGTCGAGGAGGAACCGGTTCACTCGCTCTTTGTTCTGCTGGATGAAGGGCTGCAATTTGGCCATGTAGGGTTCCTTGGCGTAGGAGGGCTTGTTGGCGAGGTTCTGCAGCATCTTTGCGATCAGGGTCAGTGTGCGGCGCGGCTTCTCGGCTGGGGTGCCGTCGATGAGCATGTAGGAGCGCGGCGTGACGATGGCCGGGTTGATGAAGCGCAGGAAGAAGAAGCCTCCGATCAGAGTGCAGATGACATGGTCCTGGGCGTCCGGGTACTTGCGTTTGGACAAGCTGCGGATCTGCTTGCATATCCAGCGGATGCCGTAAGGGGTCTCCTCGAGGCCGTCGATGATGGTTTTGAGGAAGCTGTTGGCGAGGTCGGTGAGCATCTTGAGCCTGGGCGCAATGATGGCCTGGACCTGCTCGTTTTCCGCGGCGACCTCGGCGGTGACTGCGCGCTCGAGATAGGGGGGCAGGGAGCCGGTGCTGGCCTCGATCTGCTGGACCATGGACTCGTAGACCTTGAGCGGATTGATCTCGAGGTCGATGTCGTGCAG